CCACTAAAATTGCCACTAAATTCTAAACAAAACTATTCATTATATAAAATTATTTTACTTAATTCATCCTTGTATTACTAACCACATCATTCATTTCTAACATCTTTATAAGATTTTATTAACCAACACTTCTCAAACATTATTTACCTATATACATTTATAATATCACAGAAAAATACAAACAATCGGAATCATTGTATAACTTTTCTAAATATAATCTAACACAGCTTAACTACAACTGATGTTTTGATATATTAACCCTTTCCACTCGGATGCCACCAGTCCGGCGACAAAATACATATTAATTTCAGAATTCCCGAGTGAAAACGGTTAAATTAGTTGTATCAATTCAATTTAACAGATTTTGACAATTGCAATTAACATAAGTTGATTATTATGAATCGATACATAAAAGCAACAAAAACAGTAACATTTAAATAACATGATAAAATAAATGTATTTGATATATCATTTCTTCACCATTTCCTAATCTTTCATTGACTAGCTCTTTACTCTCAAAATAACGATTTAAGATAATTTAAATATTTCTTAATTAATAGTCTTGATCCAAGATTTTGAAATTTTTCTAAAATAATTTCACATTTTTTATTAAAAAAAAGTTTTATTACAATTAAAAATAATTCATTAAGTCGTCGTCACGCTTACTTAATGGCAATCAAAGTTTATTAAAATTAGATAAAAAATCTAAATCTGGAACATTCATTATAATATTTTTACAATTTATTAGCTAAATCGCGACAATAAGTTACGCAAATCTAATAAATAAAAATGTTATTCCCTATATTTTTGACAGATTTTTTTAATAATTTTTGATGCCAACCTTTGGCAACTTTTATTTATGAAAATCTCCAACTGATTTTTCTCGGTAGTTTTTGGATATAGCTTTTCCAAATATGTATAGCATTGAGCATATTCGTTATATTTCACCTTTAAAGTAAAAACTGGAAGAAAAATATTCCATATGAAGAAGGAACCTATACGAAATAAATATTTTTGATCCAGCTGGATTATTCTGATATCGTAGATGCATCTCGTTCAGATATAATTAGTTGAAATATACAGAATTGGTTTAGATGTTTGCAAAACAATAATGAGATGTTTTATGAAATATAATTGTTCAAGATCGCTTAAATATTGCTTAATAGCTTAATCTTTCAATTCCTTTTTTAAATTGCTCCTAAAATTGCCATCCCAGTGAATAATCTGGAAATATTTAGATTGGAAGTTTGAATACTCGTGTAAAATTAATCAACTATATTTTTCACTACTAATTGTGCAATACAATTACTTTTATCAAAGAAAAAGTTAACACCGCCACTTGATGACAATACAACATAACCACATATTCACTGAGATAAAAGAGCAGTTCTATTGTAATAAATATTTAAAAACTAAGCATCATATTTTTATGTTTACAAATATTTTTAGAATAAATAATTTTGTACAATATTATATACAATGATTGATTGATTAACTTTGTTGGATTGCAAAGAGTAAATTATGAGTAAAGTATTGAAAAGCGTTCTAGCGTATCTGGATCAAATTAGCTCTAATATAGACTAAGTGTGCTATGATTTTTAGTATAAACAAATATATTGGTATCTAATAAAATTATCATTGATTTTTAGATAAATTTTGGTTTTTAATTAAAACCGCCTAATTAGCGAAACCAAATTAAAGAAAAATATTAATAAAAGCGTATAACGCATAATTATAATATTAAAAATAATAAATATTTATGGAAAAGTTCTCCGGTACCAGTTTTGGAAGTTTAATTATACATGCTCATAGTATTCATAAATATTATATTATATTAAAGAAGCATGTAAAGCCAGAAATCAAACATAAGGGCATTTTTCCAATAAATATTTTTTTTGAAATCCAACAAGATTATTCAATGATATATAGTATTGTACGAAATTATTAGGGTAGAAGATTTTTGTAGACTTTGTTCTATCAATTTCTGTCGTCCTTGTTCAATTTCAATCATTGTTCTATCAATTTCTGTTGTCTATGGTCCTGTGACATATTATGACTTTACTTAAAAGTATTTTTTGACTTCAAATTTTTATACAGCAATGCCAACAAAAACCAGTGTTTACTCAAGATTATATTTAACACGTTAATAGCTACGATAATATAGAAAGATTTTTTCAGAGACAATGGTAACTTTATTAGATAATTTACTGGAAACTGTATCAAGAAAACTTAATGTAATTTTTTTTGCCAAAATTCCTGGAAAAACAATATTTTTTATGTCACACATATATAACTGACATGGCCCTATATTAAAACTTTATTTATCGGCAAGTGGCCTTCTACCAAATCGCGTATGTCTGACATGGCTCCTGTAGATAACACATATGACTGACACGGCGCTTAACGTGTTAAGATCCATGACCGCAAGTGAAAATTTCATATCATGCCACTTGATATCGAGTTGGTCAAGGTTGGGATCGAATCCGGAAGCTTGGGATTACTAGCCTAAGTTTCCGGGTTCTAGTTTGAAATTTCAACGTTCTTAATCTCTAGTACACTGTGGGCCTATGCAAATATTTTCAACACTATTATAATTTTGTACAATATTATATAGTAGGAGAAATACGTACAAAATGACATATATGGCCTCATTTCAAAATTGGCTAGTTTTATTTTAAAGCCATAATAATAATCCTGTCAGATATGGTCACGGTCTTGTCGGAGTAATCAATTCAAATGTTCCTCGCGCCTTGAAAATTATTTTGAAGGTGCTTTTCTCATGTTTCTTTGAGGATCTATTTATTAATATTATTATAAATTATGCCAGTTTTAGTGATTTCGATCAATTTTATTGCAATAATCAGATTCTTAGTGAAATTTTGATTATTCGTTTTCGTTCAATTTCGGACAAAATGTCATACTTGTACAATAGACAAAATGACATAGTACTACTTCACAAGTATGTAAAGTATGGTCCAAGAAAACTATTAAAACCTGTCAAAAAGACGAAACGATTCATTTGTAAACTGCTTTCTTAAAAAATTCTCATCTCAGTATGTCCTTGCCCTATATGCCATTTTGTCCGTACTATATGGATATATGTTTTTTTGTAATAGGTTGCACTTTTCCTTTAAATTTGTTATTATTGTTCATACTTAAATACTGTATTACTGGTGGTCGATGAACTAAAGATGAGAAAAACTATTGAGACTGGTTATAATATCATTAAATGAATAAATATCACTAAAAAACAAAACGTGTCATTGTGTCCGTACTTCTCCGACCAATAAATAATTTTGTTGGATGCATGCAAAGAGTACTTTATTGAAAAAACGCCCTTTTGTACCATTATTGGCAACAAGTTTAGTGTATTTTTTACATGTTCCAAAGGTATTCGTAGATCTTATGCACAAATATTTGTAGACATAAAAATATGATGTTTAATTTTTTTGAATATAACTTTTAATAAACCTGCTCTTTCTGACAAGTAATAATTACCATATGATTAAATCAACAATAACTGATCCACAAATGGATTTATTTTTTATTCGTGTTAATAAGGCGGCACTTTCTTTAATATCGTGCAATGTACGTGAAGAACATATGGTAATTTATCTGTATCTATAACGCATATCGGCCTTCTGGGAAGTAATAATAGAGAAATTGAATAACAACAAGATTTCTTCAATATCCTTATCATTATTAGTTTAAGAGATTACAGAGAAATTATCGATATGTTATATTGAATAGGATACAGTGTCCTAATATCATGAACTAATATTTGTTTTTTATTAGCTTTAACGTCGCCCATGAGAATGAAATAATATAAGATATTCAGATCATTGGAGTAGTATCACATAAACATCAAAGCAACTTTATTAAGCTACTTATGTTATATTAAGACGTCGAAAACTACATTGATATAAAAATACTTTCATCAGTTCCTTTTTATATTGATTACACATTTAATGCTATACGAAACATTGCGTTGAGTCTCTCTACAAAACTACAATAATTTACTTTGGTAAAGTTTCAGTATGAGAAAACGAATACTGCTCTGGTGTCAAAAAAATATTAGGGAAGACTGGGTACTGTGGTGCCATTTTTGTTTTGATCAGCAATAATTTTGTTAATTTACCAGTTAGCAGGGAGAAACGTAAATTAAATGGTAATTTGAACATTTAGCTTCATGGAAATACTGATCTTAACTATGATGGATAAAATCAAATCAACAAGAAGAGGTCACAGAATGTCACAACCGTCCACACCTGAGTATAGTTGTGACAGGCATAAAAATAAGTAAAAAACAATAGCTATATATATCAAAATAGTTTATAACGACTTATTGTCATTAATAACAATAATGAGCATAACAACACAACATGAACATTTAAACAAAGCCTATGAACATAATATAACAATATATAACAAAATATAATTTTTTAAACAAAGTTAACAAGAATTCATTGTGAAATCTTTTTATCTTGTATTAAATTTTCCTTTTCCTTTCTCTTTCGTTTCGTATTTTGTCTTAGTTAAGTTAAATTTTCTTCACCCGAAAAGGACAAGAAATACATGTTACCCACATACAACCTTACCCACAAAACTTGTCACAACCGTATCCAACGCACACTTGAGTACAAATAATCATTATGACTGTTCTAAAATAACTAAAAATTGTAAATAACAAACTAGAATCTTAATATTTTAACTCATAGTAATAAATCTTGATGGAAAAAAACGACTTACATGTCGTCCATAGACGACACCCGTATACAAGTAGTCGAGTGGTTTGTTCATGGGCTACACGTAATAGCGATAACACAAAAGTAAGTAATAATTTATAAAGCACTAATTGCTAGTAAATAACTACTAATGCTCAACTTACAGCAAAATAACAAACAATGTGATCAATCTGTATACAATTAACAGTTATTATTAAAAGAATTCGAACATGAAAACTTACTTTTGACTTTTTAAAAGCAATGCGGTCTACAGATCATGTTAATGTAAGGCACTAACTGAAAGCAATAGTGGAAAGTTGTGGGAACAATCATTGTTTATCTTTCTCCCTTTGGATCCTATCTCAAAATCAGTATAGTTTAACTGTTATGTACCCTGGCACAATCGTACCCAGTCTCCCGTACTTCTTATTAGACAAATTAGAGTTGCTTGTTGATATGAAAATTAATTTAGTTCTCTAAATTCGTTAAATAAACGGTTCAAAAGTTTATCTAAATTTTTATAGTCCATTATTATTACTACATATGTCAATATAATGTTCAAATAGAAAGTGGAGTAATAGATACTTTGAATTAGATAAATACCATCAAAAGCAATATTGGGTCAATATTTTAATTATTCGCAGCAAGATTAAGAAGAACATATTTTAAACACTTACCATGACTTCAACTTAATCAAATAAACACATGACAGTATCCAATAAGCAGTCTCCAAAACAAGAACAACACCTTCCCTCTTTCTCATCGTCGCTGTCTCTTTCTTTCTTATTTTTATTACCTCTCTTTTTATGCTTTTTCTTTTTATGTTTTTCTAAAAGCTTATCATTTTTCCCATTCTGCATTTGCTCATCAGTCTGGGGTTGAGTTCTGGCACTTAAATAAACGGGTCTAGACGTTGGCAGAGGTCGTGGGCTGGCAAATAAAGTCAACATATCGCACTGCCTAGCATCCAGTGGATCTGGTAAAGCTTCACCGCGAAGTCTTGCCAGAACCAACTCACATTCCACAGGGTCAAGAAGTTCACTTTTTTGTGGCCCTTCCTTAAATTCTTTTTCAGTCATCAATAAATACCTTACCCTATAACTAACGTCACCTAATACTCTTCTTCTACTGGCAGCAGTTGAATCAGTCTTACGTCTTCGACATTCGCTAAGACTCCATCGGTGCATTGCATCAAATAGCGTTGTTTCAGACGCCAAACGAAGACAAGGACGACCTGTTATTATTTCTAGATCTGTAAAGCTGAGTTCTTCGATACGTTCCTGCTGCAGAATGGTTTCCGCATGCTCATCTATTACCAGCAAACAGTTGTGAAGTAATGCAGAACAATGGTCGCCCATGAGAAGAGCCGGATCAGACTCAGAATCTAGGAATAAACGACCAAAAACATAAAAATTCACATTAGGATTGATTCATTGCGTCATAACTACATTTATTTGTATGATGTTTTATCAAATTATTATGTAGGTACTTGCGCTTTGTATCTTATAAGTGTGTATAAAGTTGTAAAGTTGTAATTTGAATTAGTCAAGTATGGTCAATTTAAGAAATATTAAAGTATATAAAGCAGTATAGTTGGTATTTCTAGTCATATATAGACAAACAGTAAAATAATTTTTTAAGTAATATAATATTATATAATATAATAACTAATAGTCATAGTTCTAAACTGTCACTGGCAAGTCACCTGTAAGTTTCACTTGCTCTCCATATCCCGCAAGTTTTGCCGTATTGCAATAAAACCGTAAGTCACGAAACACTTCCAACACATTATCTGCATCCAAATGTAAATCAAGATAGGAAACACAATCCCTCACCAGATCAGGAATTACATATCTGTGAGCAGCTTCTAAGGTATTCCTGGCGGTGCTGACGGACATCAATTTGGGGTTCTCATCCAACAGATACCTGAAAATACCGTGTCATAGAGTTAGATAAATCATTTTTTAGTAATTTGTTATTTGTATACAGCTACGTAGTTATGAAATTTATTAAAACTCTCCTTTGATAATTCAGGATGTTGGGTTGTAATTTAACCCTTGTAGCTGTGGACTGTATTAAACACTGATTTGTTTTGTATGTTTATTTATTTGTTGCAGTTGTTATTACAATCACTGATTTGTCACTAAGTTATTATGAAAAAAGATATATTTATTTATTATTTATTAAACATGTTGTTGCGCAGACTTTACTTTTAGAAGTGGACAATTAAGCCTATTAAAGTCTCCGCTACCTCCTATACTAGGGGTAGCAACCATCCCCTGTAAAAGCTCAATGCCATGAAGATTATAACCTTTATGACCAATATAATAAAACAAAAATACGTCCGAACACAATTTAATTTTTAATTCTTTTTGAACAGCAATAACAATTACATGTTCTATAAGCCGTTATTTTTAAGATATGAGTATCGAATAGTTTTGGCGAATATATTTGTATAAATAAAATTTACGAAATTAAATTTTAGAAATTTAGAAATTAAATTTGTGAATTGAAATTTGATTTTTATATTAAATAGTATCTTCTGTTATTACTGATTGAGTAGATGCAACCATTATAATGTTTTTATTTTAACATCTTAATCCTATGAAGGTAAAACATAATGAAAAATAAACACCACACTTTTATTATTTAATTATAATTTCCATAAAATGAAAAACCAAATGTAAAATGAAACTGTCTTCATGATGTTAAATACAAATAATTAATTTTAATGATCAAATATATGACAAAATCTTGAAAAACATAACATGAAGTAAAAAGGATGCAAAGGTTTTCAAACCATCTTTATTTTTTCAATAAAGGGTATTATAAAATATTATTATTTTCACTTATGGGTACTTATATACGTGAAAAAAACAAATATAAATTTTTGTGATTTGCAAAAAAATAAATAGTTTTATTTTAGCTTTAGCATTATTAGGCATATTGTAATCGTTTATAATGCGAGAAAGTAAAATTACAAGTTTTATTATTTTGCAAAAAAATATTTCTTTAATAGGCATATTGCAACCGGGCATATAATTTACGCATACAGTCAAATAAATTATAAAATGAATATTTTATTAAAAAACATCAAAATTATAATCAGTCTTACCTCAATATATGATCAAATGCCCTCTTATCAACGTCTGGTACCAAGATTGTATCATTAGAATTTGCGAGAGGACCGAGTAGTAGCGCCTGAAAATATCAAGCTCACAATTAGATTAACATATACATTTGAATTACAATTGATATAAACAGTAGTAAAAATATATTATGACATGTTTAAAATTATGAGATCGTAAATTGTAAAAGAAAAAACAATATGCTGAAATATTTATAATCAAAAAGAAAACAAACTTAAATATTTACACTAGAAAGAGTGAATATAGCAAAATGTAAATAGAGCTTGAATTAACTAGTACATTCGCGAGTAATAAAATATTTATCATGTACGTTAGCGAGTTTAATATTTATGTCGTTAACATATCATGAAACCCAAATATATAAATATTATCATAGGGATAAATGAGATTTAGAAGATATTTTGATTAAAATTATATTTGATCATTCATAGTCTTCAAGCAAATAATTTCTGAACTCTGTGTAAGAAGTATTTTGATTTAAGGCAGGTTGCAAAAATTTGCAACTTGTTGCGTAACAATTTTGAAAGTTCTTAAATCTCTATTATTTTAATTGAGTCAATTATTAATACATGTTGGGAAATGTTTGTAACCACCCGTCTTAAGTCAAAATGCCACTTACACCTAGTTAAGGTATAATTTGCTATTGATACGATAAGAGTTAATAAATAATTTGCTCATGAGCTGCAGCTCATTATATCAATCATTAATAGATGTTTATAATTAACCCCTTTTCCAAATCTTATAATATTTTAGAATGTTTGTTAATGCCCTAAACTCTACCATCAAGAACATTTTCAAAATTATCAACTTTTTTTTTTCAAAAATTAATTACGAAGATACGACCCGCCAATTTTTATCAAAAATGAATGATCCCAGCCTCATATCAATCGGTCATTGTTTCAAGATATTTGGCTATGCAAATTTTGCACTTGACTGCTAATTATTAAAAAAAACGCTCGGCCACGTTAATCAATAAGAATTCAGATTCAGATATTTAGGTAAAATATTCAACTGTTATTCAATTTTATTTCGAAAATGAAATTACCGCTTTCATTAAAAAATAATGAATACGATTTCCAGTTGATGTCTTTCAAAAAAAAAACTCATTATAATATGTAGATGTCATAGTATAAATTAAATTCACTGTTTTACCACATTTCATTTTATTTATTTTTGTTCTATAAATGTATTTTATTTAAGTGTAAACGTCAACTGTAACCAGTAGTACATACGAAACATAGATATATGCTCGGCATTGATTTAGAATGAATGAATTTTCAATTTAATTCAACCACTTATAATATTTTATTGTGTTATTTCAGACTGCAAAATTTCTTTCACGTTTTTCTCGTGGAAAAAACTAATCAACGAGAGCCCACATCAAGTTTCATCGAATCTTTTTTAGATGCTTGAAATCGGTATAGCCGTTTCCAAGAAAACGAAAATAAATAATTAAAAATATTATTTGAATACCTAAATCTTAATTCCTATTACTTAAGTCGATTGCTGCCATATATCAGCAAGGTTTATGCAACTTGCTTTAAGGCAAAATGACAATTTCAACTAGTTCAATTTTAGTCGACGATTTTTAGAAAACAATTTAGTCCCACAAGATTCCTAATTATTTGAAACGTCGGGAAAACCTAAAATTAGCAAGTCGTATTTTGTCGAAAATACGAACTTTTCCTTCGAAAAGTTAAAAATAGAAATTACTATTTAACTATAAATAGAATCAATAACAAAATTCAATCTTTATGAAGTGTAATATTAATTATTTTTTCTTACCCTAATTTCATACAAATTACAAAAGCCTATAAGATCTTATATTATGATGTATTTTGATTGCTAAGGTAACAAAAAACTTTAAATACTGATGAAATATTTTGAGAAGTACAACGACGTTAGTTCGTTAATATTTATACATATTAAAATTAATTGATCATTTTGCCAAACTATAGGCAAATTAGATGTCAAATTTCCACTTGAGGTTATAGATCTTGAATATAGCTTCAAGTGAAAATTGCCTCTCGTGGGTGTAGTTGCATATATATATATATATTCATATATATATATATATATATATATATATATATATTTACAAGAGAATTAATCAACACATTTGTAATTCGAAAAATCCAAATCAGTTTAAGACAATGTTTTCGGAACATGTCATTAGTTTTTAAACCATACTTTCAATACCAAAAATCCTATTATTTTACATAAGGAGAAGAATGGTGACCTCAGAAATTTTATGTATATAATAAATATGCCAACAAATACTTCAAGTATAGTTAATCATAGTCATATTTGGATTGGACAACTGCATGCTGGGTTGCCATCCATTCAAAAATTCATAAAGTCAAAATAATTACTGAATTACTGTTGACGGATCGTAATTAAAATATGCAAAAACAACAAAAAAAGATATTTTTAATAATAAAAAAATTGATCATTTAGATTTGTTACCTGAAAGTATGGATGAACCCGAGCAAGACGTTGTCGATCTGCAGTCAATCTCCATGTACCTTGTTGGTCATTTCCGACCACGAAAATCGCTACATCTTCTGAAGAAGTCTCCATAGCTACTCTAAAAAATAGAACAAAAATCAAATTTATCTTACATGACAAAAAGTACTTATTCAATTCAACTAATTGGATAATACACAAATAGTACTTAAGCGTTGCCCCCTTTATGAAAACAATTAAATAATTGACCAAATTACAATTGTAATTCATTTATTGCAAGTAATTCATTTATTGCAACCCGCATGTCTCCAACTGTGAGTAATTAAAATTGATCAAAATATTTCTGATAAGAAAGTTGGTGAATAAATAAAAAAATATACGTTAAAAAATATAATCAAATGCTGTGTATTGGGCAACCATAATAATTCTTGGAATCAAATTAGGTTTGATCAATATTTCGACATATCGCAAGTAAACAGAAGGGAGCGTATCTTAATGATTAACCGGTTAAATAAAAATGTATCATTTTTATTGGGAATTGAATTTTAATTAAGTAAATAATCACACACTCATTTCAACAAAAAAAAACTATTTAATGTTTTGTGTATAATTACTTAATTGTATTAATAATTACTTTAGAAATTAAAACATGTTGTAATGTTTTATAAATAGAGTTTAAACTATTCATAAAAAATAAATAAAATAGAAATTTATCATCATATCATCTAAATAAACTTAGAAATTTATAAATAATTATATTCATATTATTGCAATTATTTTTTAATGAATTTTGATATTTTGTAAACTTTGTTTTATCCCAAAACGCCTAATTTTTTTTTAATTTCTATATCTGTTACAACTGCTAAATAATATAACATATAGCAACATAAGTGAATAGTAAAATAAATATAATTAAAATATAGTACAAAATAAAGGATATTATTTTCATTAAAATGATAACCGTATTATGATGATTTAATATAAAATAAAAGCGAATAATGATAATAATAAAATTAATAAATAAAATTTGTGAATAATAAAAATAATACTAGAAAAACAATAAAGTAGGTTAAAAACAATAAGTGACAAATAATAATAAGTATAACAAAATAACAATATTAGCTTAAATTAGCACAAAAAATTAAAACAACAAAATTAAACAAAACAAATCACCATTATTATAGATTATAATAAAGATTGCAAAGTGACTTCTTCTTAGAACTATGAGATTTTTAAAAATAATTGTTATTGCATTTGGTAGTTTATTATATCATAGACATGTTTGAATTTATGTCTTCATGGTTTATGACTAAAGTTGACTTTTGATTATGGATTTATATATACATGGTTTATGAATATGAAATTTATTAGATTGTGTATAATTAATCATTTGAACAAATAATTAAGAACTTTAAAAATGTTTTATTGTTTTATAAAACAGGGAAAAAAAGAAATAATTATATTTTTTCTTATGTATTTTTTTTTTCAATAAATTTATATATTTAAACACTGTTTTTTTGCATAACTTATGGAGGTGTTGTCCATATTAAATACCAAAATGATAGACAATAATAAATTCCATAAAATATTATTTATATTTGGTTTATTTTATGTATGATTAATATCCACGACACTATGTGTTGTCATATTTATCGTTAATAAAATGTGATTGGTATTTTCTTATTTATAATAGAAAAAGAAAGGTTTTGAAAATTATACATTTTGGCAAAAACTACTCGGGGAGAAACAAAAACCGTGTCCGATCTGACACTTGAATTTCCTTTTGTTTTTCTCAGTGCTGTCACTATATGGGCCAATCTGTCCAGAGACATGTGATGCGTGTTGGCAACCCGCTACAAACTCATGAATTTTGAATGAAATTAGCTCTAAGTATCAAAATCAATTTTTTTACAAATAGTAAATAACTTTTCGATTATAATTAATTTTGAAATAAATATTGCAATGTATTTACATCTTGAGTTTTTAAAAACTAATATCAATAAAATTTAGAAGTTCATTATATCACCCTTGTTTGAACACATGACTTTATGGTTGATATACAATATTGATTTTTGATTATGGGTTTATGAATTCGTAAGTGTATGTAAAAACGATTTTGTATAATAATAATTTATTTCTAAAACATTCAAAATAATTTTATATTCGAGTTATAATACTGGACTCGGACAGCCTGATGTCAAGCAGATAAATAAAACATAGAAGATATAGATTTATTTTCAAGCAAAAGTAGTCCTTGCTCGGTATTACTGATTCAATAAAATGAAAATATAATCAGTATTACCGAAGTTGTGATAAAAAACGACCAAAAACATAAAATTAAATAAAACTAGTGGGGTGCATGGCATCGCGCCTTAAGGCAAATTGCTGTGACTTCCCGTACCGTAATTAAAAATCTTAGTATGAAACCCAAAAAAATTGCACTTTATTGCATTTATACACATTATTAAAATCTCTATAAAATATCTTAGAACTTGATAAATGTCTAATAATTATTTTTGGACTCCAAATGACATTTTTTAACTTAAATTTATTGAGAGTCCATAACCACTGGACCTGCCTTCCCAAAAATTTAATCAGATCTTCATTTTGTCAAGTGAAATGATTTTTGAATTTGAAGTCGGACGCTCCGTTCTTTTAAAAACTGAGTTACCGTTTTTGGCACTTTATGCCCCATATCTTCGGAACGGCTAGACCTGCCTTTGTCAAAAACTAATCAGAACGTCTCCTTATCAATATGAATCGAATGTTTTTTTTTAATTGTTTAAATCGGTTGATCGCTGTTCCCAAAATCGTCGACGAATATTTGTATCCGCACACACACACATACACTTAAATCTATCTTTTCTAAGGTATGCCAAAATATTAAGAAACCTTTGAAACGTAAAGATATATAAAATATTTCATTTTAAATTTTTTTGCAATTACTATAACTTACTCTACGGGAAGTTAAAAATTGAGTTGGTAGTAGTACAGGTAGTAGAATAAATGAATATATTTGATAAAAATGAATCAATTAAGAGAATTTAAATTTGGCGTCCTTACTCGCATTTTTATTATGTATTGTGAATCTAACAAGTACAACTTGTATTTCTGTTACTGATTTCATTAATTTAACATGTTTTTTTTAAATTAAAAGTAAATTATTCTTTAAAATTCTAATACAGGTTTTTATAAATAGCAAATTAATCATCAATAATAACTAAATTTCTCACCTTTCAAATAGTGCGTACAATCCTATATCTCGGCATAAAACTTCTTCGAAAGAATTCCAAAGTAATTATTACCCTCACTAGTATTAATTAACTGAATTTCATATGCACCCCCTTGGTAACATTCCCTGGTCATCGTCTGGGGCGAAGGCACTTTCGATTTTTTCGGGCATAACATTTTTATTCCACATGTCCACACAACGAACTGAACACTGAAATAGTAAAATACAAAATAAAAATAAACGTACCGAATAAATTGTATCAAGTTAAACTTTGATAATTCGTTATTTACTGTCGATAGCTATATTATCTTTAGGTCGATACAGAGCATGTGTGAGAGCTTTCACGTAAAAACATCAATGATAATTATATAGAAATGTGTTTACTCTGATTAATATACTCACACACGAATTTTATATGTATTCAGAGCTGTACGTGTTCTTTTTACGCACCCTTGTTTTGTAATAAGCTCAAGGTGGATACAAAACTACTAAGGTTGCGGAGGATAATTCTATAAAAATACTACGAATGATTCTAAAATCGTACAGGAACTAGTGGTGGCATGGCATGGCGCGTTAAGGCAAATTGCTGCAACTTTCCAGTCTTAAATATTCGAGGGAAAAAAATCAGTAATTAATAATTATTGATCAAAATTTAATAACAGCTGTTTCAAATATTTTCAAATAGATAATTATAAATACTATGTTTTTTATTGTTTATATATTATATAGCGACGATTTTATCGCATAAAAGACTTAAGAATGTTTACATTAACAAGAGATGCAGAATGAATCCATCTGAGGATAGATGATCTTTGGATCTCCAAAATCGCTGGACCTGCCTTTCCAAAAAAATAATCAATTCTTCATTTCGTCAATGCAAGTAAAATGTTTTTTGAATCATGCAATCGGGCACTCTGTTCTCTGAAGAAATGAATTACCGTTTTTGCTATTTTTTCCCCGTACCTTCGAAACGACTAGATCTGTCTTTGCCAAAAATCACCACGTCTCCTTATCAATACGTCTCTAATGTTTTTTAGATTATTCAAATCGGTTGATCCGTGTTCCCGAAATCGTAGACAAAAAATTGTATCCAAACACACACACAAACACACACACACATATACATCAATTTTTTCTAAGGTACGCCAAAATGTTCAGAAATCTATGAAACGTAAAGATTTGCAAAAAATTTTATTTTCGATTTTTTTGTGATTACTATAACTTACGAGTACACTTCAAGAAAAAATTAATAAATTGTCATATATTATATTATATTTATATATTTAATTTACTGAAAGTTAAAAAAATCAAATTAATTCCAAAATTGTTCTATCTCTAAATTAGCCAAAAAGTATTTATGACATTGTTACAAAATGAAGTAAAGCAAAAATATTCCATTGAAATATTTTTTACCTATAATAAGGCCAAATAATTATTTGGTGACTATATTAACTAATAATTAATTGGTGACTATAATACTAAAAAAATAATTATTTGATGACTTAAGTTATCATATTTAAATAGGAATAGCAAATAAAATTATAAAACACTTTTATTGTTTTTTATGCCAATAAATATAAAAAGTGTTTTTTTTTATTTTAATAATTTTTTGCTAAAATCATGCTCGGTTCACATAGCCTTTATACATTTTAGCTTTATATAGGGTGTCCCAGAACTTAGTCTTAATATTAATATCCTACCCTAACTGTCCTGAAAAAAATATTATCTAACGTTGTTTGGAAATTATGAGCTTTTAAATGCAACCTAGAGCTTTGGTGAAATTAAGATCATTTTCAGTTAATGTAATTATTATTATTAATTTTGCTCATTCAAACTTTGGAATTGTAACCACGAATAACATTTCTGGGACCACAGTAAAAAAACACATCACAACTTCCTCAAGTTCTGAAGAATTAAAACTTTTTGTTGAACTATGAATTTTTTAAGATAAACGATCATCTTTGAGAGGCCCTTCCTTAAAAAAAAAGTATTATAGTGTGTTGGCAAGTTTCATCAAAAGTTGGTGAGCTATATTGAAAAATGGTAAAATACTTGATAATTTTATAATTGATAATTTTCAGTGAAAATTAAGGTTACCCCATTTCTGCTTAACGTTTAATAATAAATTATAATAATCTAGTTCTGGGACACCATGTATAAATTTAGAGATTAAAATTATTATGCTCATACCACTGCAATAACAAATTGAAATATACCTAATAGGTATATACCTAATACCACTACATACCTAATAGGTATATTTCTAATTTCCCATATATACCTAACAGGTATTTTTCAATTTGTTATTGTAATGGTATGAGCATAATAATTTTAATCTCAAAATTTATACATGGTGTCCCAGAACTAGATTATTATAATTAAATAAAAAAATGCGTTTTCGAAATATGTATATAGGTATATATATAGGATACCTATATACATATTTTGAAAACGCATTTTTTTATTTAATTATAATAATCTAAATGGCTTGTTATATATAATTAATATGATAATACCTATGTGGCATAAGATAGCAAATATAAAAAATATGTACTAATATATTTGAGTTGTCTAATTTGTCACTAAATTAAAGTTTGTTTAGAAACCGCAAAGGTACATATTTATTTAGTAATTTATAACAAAGGTAAATTTTAAGTGACCTGCGAGGCCGTACGGAAGTTTTCGCTTGCTTTAGTCAATCTTAAAAGTGAATCTTGTTTAGTAAATATATATGTATATTATTTGAAAAATTTAATAAAAGGGAGTTTTATTTGTAAACAAAAAATAAAGTTTTTTTTATTTAAGTTCGTTTGCAAACGCATACAATAAGTTGAACGACATATTTTAATAATTTTATTTTGGGTTAAGACAATTTAGATTAATAACAATTCAATTTTCTTCTAGGATCAAACCCCCCTTTACCTGATTGCCACAACTAAAAATTGACTTAAAAAATATGATCACCTTAAATAAAGGCGTCAGATCTAAACAAAACTGATATTCTTTCACAACCATAAATATCTTTTGCTACATGTTTTTCTTCAAAAATTTTAAGAAATCTGTCGATACATTTATTT